GATTTTTTCTCTGTTATTCACAAAATAAAACGAGCAATGTATTATAAAAAAATATAAAAGAGAAATCTATGACTCATCATGATAAAAAAAATATTTAATGCAGCTGAACTTCAGTTTTACAATCAATTATGTATCTCACGTAAGTCATACAGAGAACAACTATTGATCAGGCTTTATACATGGTAGGCTGTGTTATTGATTATAATAAAAAACAAGTTCCAAAACGAAGAGAACACAAATAGCGCACCAACGCGGCTAATAGAGAAGGGAAGGGGGATATGTTTTCAACACCATAGAAAATGAGCAAATCAAAAAAAATGGCTAACGCATATTTTTAGACCATGATTCAACGTTGTTACATAAATAGATGATTAAAATAACTCCATCAACTCGAAGTAATCAAACTCTGATGCATAAAATATACTATCGGAAAATCATTATGATAGTTTTTCAGTTCTTTATAAAAACTTTACACGTGTGCATCTCATATACATTTATCACTATTTTATACATCAAGAGAATGAATGCAAAAATATTACGTTGATATTTATTTTTCAAGTTATAGGCAATTTAAGTTTGCATTGTAAATGCCTGTACACCGGGAACCAATCCTACCACGTACCACGTACGTAATTAAAGATTTAATATACGCTCACCTTAACCATCTCCAGAATCTCCGCACACTTGATCCTAACATTCTGGAAGGGGCAGTTCACGCTAAGCCTCAATATCACCGGTAGATGCAACGTCACCAGGCTCAAATACTTATTCGCCTGGGCTTGCCTCGGCCCATCCAGGGCATTTCCCAGATTAAGCATCCTACCAACATCCCCGGGCGTGACGTCAGGACTCTCCAACACCCTGCCACTCTTCGAAGAGACATCTTCGTCCTGGGAGAGCGGTCTCTTGATCTGTCCAGCGCTGAACTTCCGTTCCTCGTTTTTCCTCAAATAATCTTGCGGCAACTCGACACGAGCGGTACGAAGCCTGCCATCGTCCAACGTCTCATCCTGATAGATCTCGAAATTCTTCAACTTCGTGTCCTCCGCACGATTGTCGTCCTGCCTGTGATATATCTCATTGGCGTTCTCGTTCTCGAAACCGTCCAGAGTGTTGAACACAACCCCGTCCCGGTTCCTGATCGTCATCTCGGTCTCGTCGAAAGAGACATCGTCCACACTGTCGTAACAGAGTCGTTCCCGCGGCAGGATGTCGCCGCCCTTCGGGCGGAAGTTCAAATTCCTCCGGTCGAAATTCGCGCCCAAGTTCTCGTCGAATTTCGGGCTCTTCCCGTATATCCTTATATCTGAGTCAAGCTCGTCATCCTCGAGCTGCTTCTGCTTCGCGCCTTTCACCTTCACGTAGTTCTTCGCTCTGGGCCTATCCTCCAGACACGCCTCGTTCAATCTCTCGCTCGAGGACGAGCCGAGGTATTTCCTCTCGCTCTCGCTGCTCGACCCGAATCGCGCCTCCGACGTGTCCTTAAACCTTAGACACCTGTCCTGAGAATCGATCTTGAAACCTTTCCCCTCGTCGGACGACGTCGAGTGGCCGGACCTGTAACTGTCCACGTCGGCCGCGTATCTTCGCCTCTCGTTCGGTGTACCGTAGCCCGTTTCGTTTCCAAGACGCCCGTCCACGCAATCGAACGAGCCCGACGGATATCTCTCGGAACAGTCGAGGCTGGTATCTTCGAGGAATGCGGGATTCTCGGTGACGCTCTGAGGAAAGAAACCCTCCGTCCTGAACGTGTCTTGAAGCAGAGGCTGCTGGAGAGGAGGCTGGACGTTCTTCGGTGCCGACTTGGTCGGTGATCGCTCCATGTTCATGTCGTATCTTCGCGTGAAAGGTGAAATGAAGTGTCTATTAGAGCTTCGCGAAAACTTAAGATATAAAAGGTCAGGAGAAAAATTCGTGCGGAAGTGAATGGAAAATGCGATTCGCTTGTTATTCGAGCCAGACTCTTCTCTCTGATCGGTCGGTACCAACCCTGATTGATTGTTATTATATCGGTGAATAAATCTTTTCAATATAATATATACGTTGAAACATACGCGCCACTATGTTATTATTCATAAGTTTTTTTTTTTCTTTTTTTTTTTTTCATCCTTTCGAAGACGATAAGAAGAAATAAAGATTGAATTCCAAGAAAATTATTAATACCAACGATCTTAACGGTCGAACGCTGGAAATTTATAGACATTATGATATACGATGGGAATATTTCATCATTTCATTATTTTTTTTTTAAAAATCAGAATAAAGAAAAATAATCACGCGTTTTCTCATTTAATCAACTTTTCCTATCTACATCGAGTAATAATTTTGGACCAGTGTTTTCTTTTCAAATAAATAAATAAATATATATATATATATATATTTATTACATATACTTTACACCCATCGAAACAAGACAATAAACAAAGATAACTCGTTCACACGTTATGCAACACTGTTACAAAATCTAGACTCGAAACGTACATATGTGCACGATTTAAATTAATAATATGAAATGAATCGATTCAAGTTCATCACATAACACGTATCTCGCTGCATTACCGCATATACTTATCGCAAAGCTGAACGAGAAATGATAGGAAACGATAAAATATCGACGCATGCAATATATTTATTACATCGATGCCTTTTTCACACGTCAGAACACTCACCTTCCATCCTGGCTCTTGAACTTCCCCCCCAGATTCTCCGAATCCTCCATCTCACCGGTGTCGTCCGAATGATTCGGACTACCAACCCCTCCGAGCCATCCCTCGACCGTGTTCCTGGCCGCCGCCAAGGCGATGTTTCTGGCAGCTTCATCTCTCGCGCACAAAGGCGCTAAAAATCTGCTAACGATCTCGACCTCGTCGTCCTTTGTGGAGGTGCCGCTTCCCGAGGAACTGTTCGGATCTCTGTACATCTCGTCTTACTTTCCCTTCTTGATTTTACTCGTGTATGTATATTTATATTTTATATATATATATATATATATATATTTAAATGTATCACTTCAATTCTTTCTCTCTCTATCTCTTTTTCTCTCTCTGTTTATGGCCGTACCTCAGGCTACACCACGTATATATACGATGTACAAGTTCGTTCGTCGTGATTCTAACGACAAGCGAGAAGCGTTCGGTATTTAATTTAATCTAATCTAATCTGCTTATGATACAAGGGTGACTCGGTGTTAGTCGAGTAGTTTCCCTCGGATTTTCTCGTTTTGTCCTCGCTCGTTCGGGCTCTTGAGCTTCCGCGATTAACACCGTGTAACAAAGCTGCAAAACAAGATGAAACGATCGGTTCGAAACGAATCGGGAAAAAAAAAGAGAGAGAAAAAAAAAAAAAAAAAACAAAAACGATTCGCAAAGATCGCCACACGTAAGCATTCGGTGTCGAATTGTTTGACGAATCTTAATCTTATCGGGCAAGTATGAATCGTAGAGCAGATGGTTTGTCGAGCTATTTATTCGAGCTAACATTTTCCATCGAAAATATATATATATATTTCTCAAATAAGCGGGCAAATGTTTGCACACGTTATGTAATCATGATCAAGCGAAATAAAATGGATAATTTGAAAGGCGAGCGAGTTTCCAGAGATTAAATCGAAGAAGAGAAAAATTGGCACGTTAAGACGAGACCTCGTACAATCAAGCCTCGATAGAAGACACGCACTATGATAAAATTACAAATTGTCGCGACAAAGGTGTCACACGTTCCGTTAAGGGTTAATAGAATCGATCCTCTTTTACCGTCGATCGATCATCGTATTTTTTTCCACTAGTAGATTCCCTTCCCCCTTCCTAGAAAGCCAGTGAACAAAGGAAAGAAAGGAAGGAGGAAAGCGGAGAAGAAAAAAAGAAGAAGAAAAGAAAAAGAAAGAGAATGGGGGGAAAAAATGGGAAAGAAAGGCTCACGGTACTATCCTCGGATAATTACGGTCGTTTCGTCGCGTTTCACAGTGAGAATCGGCCGTAAAACTCGTTTCTCGAGGATTTTACCGGCGGTGCACCTCGGGAGTCGTTTCAGGGCGATAGAAAGTAGGCGGTGTCGACTGTCGAGCGATCGTGTGGCGATCTAGCACCGTTCAACTTCGTTCCATGGAACTATCGAAGGAAAAGAAGAAAAAGAAAGCCAGGTTGATCCTAAACGAGCGCACCTTCGAAAGGAAACGATCGATCGGGCGCTTCTTTTGAGGAGCCGATCGATCGCGTCGCTTTTCCTTCACCGATTATTATCCTTCCCTCTCGTTTCCTGTCTCTCTCTCTCTCTCTCTTCCGCCTTTCTTTCTCTTTCTCTTTTTTTTTTCTTTCTTTCTTTCTTTCTTTTTTTTTTTTTTTAATATTCTCCACACGTGTGTTGCGGTTATCTGGCAACGGCAACGGTGTTACATTGTTCTTTACATCGTTACGAACGATTCCTAACGCTGAAACGTCTTCGAAATTCCAAATTGGAACGGGATTGTCCTTTGCCTCTCCTGTTCACCGCCACGTCGCGACGTTAATCCATTGGACGTCTGGAACAAAAAAGAAAAAAACACGTTAGAGGCAATAATTGTTAAAAAAAAAACTTTTATCGTTGGTTCGAGAGCCTTGTTCGTATCGGCGTTACGTAACGTTGTTGTAACGATGTTACGCCGCGCTTACATGAATGAGAAATATTAACGGTTGACCGTTAATAAATGATAATTAATCGTTACGTTAGAATGTATTCGGTTATCGAGTGACACAGGTTATAGAGCGAGCTTTATCAAGTTCAAAGACCTCCTTCTTTTCTTCTTCTTTTTTGTTCAAACTCTATTATGCTCGCAAGCATAACAATTTTAACCGAGAAATAAAAGATTAATTGTTATCAAAAACGGGCCAACCAAGTTGACATTGCAACTTCGAAGATACGCGCCTTTTCCTCGATATGCATTATCTTCTTCCTTTGTATCGCCGAACAAGTTGGCAAATTGGCTGGTAAATATAAAATATCGATCAGTATACGTTCGATCAAACTAAAAAAAATATTATTACATTCTCGAAATAATTCTCGCACGATTCCTTTCGAAAATCTTGGAAAGGAGCCGCCATTTTCGAAAGAGACGTTTCTCTCTACCTCCATCGATTCGAGTGGCGGCCGCTTATTGAATTTCAATTTACTCCATGGGTTAATCGTCATCGATCGGCTTAATATCCATCCGAGGCAAAGGTAACACACGCTCGGCAACGTAACCTAAGGCTAATAGGGAAGCACTTCTCCTCGCGGCCGCGGTGCCGCCAGCGGATTATCGTCGATCGAACCATTACGCAATAAACAATCGAAAGCTCTGTAACTCTACCTCTAGTTCTGAACTTCAACGTCGCGTAATCAGCGTCGCATTGTACCGGTTAATTCCTGCACGGATCGTTTGTTACCGTTTACGAGCGATGCAATTCCTTCTTTATCCCTCCCCCTCTACCTCCTATCCCGATTCAACAACGATTCACAATCTGTTGTCGTCGCAAATATCGATCCGATTTCTGCCTCTCGTGTCGAGAGGCGAGAATCGATCGATGCGGAAAATAAAAAAGAAAGGGAGAGGGAAAAAAGAAAAGGAAAATTTTCATGGAAGCGAGCTCTCGCGACTCGAGGTTGAGGCGAAAAGGCAGAGAAACGAGACCGTTGCTATCGGGGCCATTTACGCAATTAGTCGATGTCAGCCTGCGCCAGTCTTCCTCTCATTGATTGATCGACCCCCGCGGGAGAAGGCCTAGGTCAAGGCCGCCGGGGGTCAGGAAATAAGAGAGGTCGCGTGAACGCTGCAACTTATCGAGAAGGGGAGAGGAGACCGAGCCAGCCAACCGGTGGATTCGTGGAGAGGATTAAAAAGAAAGAAAGGGGGGTGGATTGACGATTTCTCTAGCTATGGCTCGACCATCTAGGAAATCTATTCGATCCATTTCTTCGTCACGCAATAGTTATAAATTTAAAATAGTTTGAAATCTATCGAAATCTATCTTCCTTCTCCGTTGAGAAATACTTAACTATAACTCGCAGAATATGCTTCCTTTTTTATTCGATATTTTTAGATTTAGATGAAGAAATATTCGCGCACGCGAACCTCTTTATAATTCTTCGATCGATCGATGTCTCGATTCCTCTCGATAAATTAAATGCACGAGAATTTTTGTATCCGAGAGAAAATAATTACAGCGCAAGGTAAGAGAGGTATAACTGTGCGTCTACCGTTAATCGATCGACTGAATACCGGACAGGTGAGCGGAAAAAACAAGAGCACGGGAAAGAATGGATTGACAAGAGCCTCTCTTAAAGGCTGTCTCTAAGATACGTTTCCATTTCGCGCGTGAACGGGTTGAACAGTGGCTGTTAGTAAAGTAACAATAAAAAAAAAAAGAACTCCCACCGCAAAGAACTCGATCCCACGCACCGAAACGCGTGTTTTGCGCGGAGGGAACGATCGTTTCCACGCACAATTCGATAATCCTATCCCGCTGAAATTCCACGTCCCCTTCACAATGCACCATTCTTCCATTTCCTATTTTTCTCTTTTTTCCTTTTTCAATTTCTTCTCTCTCTCTCTCTCTCTCTCTCTCTCTCTCTTCTTCCTCGTCCACGAGATCAATCCGCTCGAGAGTCTTTTCCGCGGACCATCGATCGTTGCACTCGATAACGGCGAACAACAGCCGCCGTTCATCGTCGGGTTGTTCCCGATTTTTAATATCCCGGCAATCTCCCCCTTTTTCCTGGAAAATCGATGCCCCTCGAAGGAGCATCGTTCGCGGGACAAAATTCGCGGAAACGTGGATAGAAGAGGAGGGAGGGAAGGGGAGAAAAATCGACGAGACGGGGAGGGAGAGTATAAGAAAATAGAGTCACGCGCGTGTGATATAAACGGCGCGGTGGTTTGGAGGAAGAAATAAGGGGGGGGAGGGAAGAAGGAGAAGGAGAAGAAAAAGGGGTATATACGAAACGGCGTTTTCAGCGTTTCTAACATTTCTTCGCGGCGATCTCGAGAACGATCTAAATATTTATAATTCCCCAAAGCTTAACTCTTTCCTCCCTCCCTCCCCCTTTCGCGCCGCTATGAATTATTAATGTCGCGGTCTTGCTACTGTATGCTGGTGCACGTTGCTATGCATTTCTGATACCGCGTACTTTGTCTTCGAGAGATATAAGGATGGTCAGAGCCTAGCGGATATATGGGCGCGATAAAATGATCGTCTCACGTGCCGGCGGCCATTAGAATTTAATGAAATTGAGATAAATCAGAGCGATCGGGATTGAAATACGCGCACATAATGCACTGCTCGATTCCTGGAAAAAGTCGAGATACCGTTGAAAATTTTTTTCAACCGTGTCTTCTTTCGTTTCGAAAATTTTTGTTTCGTCGATCAATAATTAGAGAATAATCATCGATAATATCATTTAAACCGAAAGTTGGGAGCTAACTTGGAAACGTTACGTTGGAAACAGAAGTTTCAAACTTTTGGCAAGTCAGAGGATAGGATGATTCACGCGCGTGATCATACATAAATTGTTATTTCTACTCTATCTTTAGAGATTAGAAATCGATTTAACTCGTCGGAGGATCGAATTCAGCGTTTCTAAAATTTTATCAAAATTCCGTGTAAAAGCTCTTTATCAAATTTATCCTTGTTCGTTCACACTTGTTGATCAACATGTGATACAAAATTCTATCTATCAATTTCAAAGGGGGATCTTCGATAATATTTTTTTTTCTATCTATCTTCTTATCGCGTTGAATAGCAAAGAATTATCGAGGGGTTCTCGATCGCTCCAAGAAAATGCAATTTCTCCGTTCGCATATTTATAAACCTGAACTAGAATCGTTTTGCCATCACCTTCCCCCGTCGAACGGGGGAATAATCCGATTAACGAAAATTCACGTGAGTGTAATTCATCTCCGTTAAAACCTTCGTGATGGGAGAAAAAAAGAAGAAAGGAAGAAAAAAAGGAGAGGGGGAAATTTTTTTAGGAAATTACGGATCGCGTGATCCCTTCTCGAGGATCCTCGAAACACCGTATCGTGCAAGCTGGATCCCAGAGAGATCCCTCCCCTGGATTGTGGGAAAACATTATATCCCGTGCCGTGGAATATTTCTCGAAACGGAGGAAGGTTCGTGTTAAAATAAGTTACAAGTTATGGCGAGAGTGTTTCTCCTTATCTCCTCCTTACTAAAGCTGCAATGATAATCGAATCTGCATCTATCGATACGCGCTATCCGATCCCTTTATTACGTATTATTTAATTCAATGTGTTCGATATGGATAGAGAAGATGCGTTGCGGTGGCAGGCCGTGCACGGTCAAAGGAGTTCTTCTCCACCTGTAATTTTCTCGCTATATAACAAACACGTATAGAACCGAGAGAGAGAGAGGGAGAGAGGCTAAATTTACGACAGGCGGAGCCGGTTTACGACCGCTTTAAAAACAGAGACTAGAGGAAATTACGTTGGCTCGTCCGTGTTCTTGAAATCAGCCCCCGATATATGCATATGCCGTGAGTATATCCTCCCTCGCGAGCAGGGAGATGTTCACCTGTGGATACCGTGAACGAGACGGTGCGATCGATTCGGCGATAACCATGTCCTTCCCCTCCACGACAAAAAGTTTGGCGAACGCGAGGCGTGTTGTTACGTACCGCTCGCCACCGTGCTTAACGCAAATTGGAAAAGCGCCGCTTACGACCTCGCGACACGCGAGACATCCGCGATAACGCCCCAACTTCTAATCCTTTTCCCTAGGAATTAAAATTCTCTCTCTCTCGATCGATGATCCGCAAAATGGATAATTAATTGATTATTCCGATTTCTTCTGTTCGATCTTCCTATAAAGATCTAATTTGGAATTATTGTGGAAGCATTCGTGCAATTTTTATCTATTTAAACAGCAATCGATGAATTCCTAGAAAACCTTGTAAACTTACGTATACGTCGTAAATTAAAGAAGGGACCGTTCGAAAATAATCGAAGGGGTAATCGAGTGATCTTCTTGGTAGATATAGTATTCGATATATATATATATAT